TGGTTTGGGACTACATGACACCATTGATTTTATCCCCAAGTGTAGTCTAAGGAATAGTAACAGTAGAGTCAAACCCAATTCTCTCATTCTCTCTCAAATTGATCTGATATCGGTGGGTATCCAAGAATACAGATCAGTAAATTAGTCTGAGCCCCTCCCCTGGGGGGGGGGCGGTAGGTTGTGGTGGTGAAGGGCTTCTGGTAGCCAAGTAGCTTAGTGTTTGATTTTATTTACATGGGTTCTTTTTTATTTTTTTTTTTCTTTAAAGATTTCTATTAAGTAATCTCTACACTCAATGTGGGGCTCGAACTCACAACCCCGAGATCTAGAGTCGTATGTTCTACCAGCTGAGCCAGCCAGGTGCCCCTATTTATATGGGTTCTTATTTTCCAAAGAGGAGTTAATACAGGTGCAGCAAGGTGGAATTAAGGATCATAGACTCTGCCTCATTCAGCAAGTGATCTTGTAGTTAATAAGAGGCATTTCTATGGAAACAAAAGGAAAACATGGTTAATGGTTGGAACAAGGGATACACCTGGTGTCTAAGTCCAGAGGGCTGCCAGTGAGAAGGTCTCTAGATGTCAGGCTTGAAGCATCCTCCAATAGAGTGGGAGTGGGCAGGGGCAATCTGACTAATTTTTCTGGCGTATAGTTCAAATGTCTCATTTTGAGTGACTCATAGAGCAACAGGCACAAAGATTGTCTATATATGAGTTATTGTGGTCATTTCCCTGAAATTTATTTCAAGTTGTCCAGCTTTCATTTGCCAGACTTCAGGAAAAAGGACAGTTTTAGTTCTTAATGATTGTAAGATAAGAGAATGGGAGAATGTTCTGAAACAAATAATGCAATATATGTTAAGGGGAAAAAAAGAAGAAGAAGAAGAAGGAGGAGGAGGAGGAGGAGGAGGAGGAGAAAAGGAGGAGGAGAAAAGAAGAAGGAGAAGAAAAGAAGAAGACGAAAAGAAGAAGAAAAGAAGAAGGAGAAGAAAAGAAGAAGAAGAAAAGAAGAAGAAGAAGAAGAAGAAGAAGAAGGAGAGAAGAAGAAGAAGAAGAAAAGAAGAAGAAGAAGAAGAAGAAGAAGGAGAGAAGAAGAAGAAGAAGGAGAGAAGAAGAAGAAGAAGAAGAAGAAGAAGAAGAAGAAGAAGAAGAAGAAGAAGGAGAAGAAGAAGAAGAAGAAGAAGAAGAAGAAGAAGAAGAAGAAGAAGAAGAAGAAGAAGGAGAAGGAGAGAAGGAGAAGAAGAAGAAGAAGAAGAAGAAGAAGAAGAAGAAGAAGAAGAAGAAGAAGAAGAAGAAGGAGAAGAAGAAGAAGAAGGAGAAAAGAAGAAGAAGAAGAAGAAGAGGAGGAGGAGGAGGAAGAAGGAGGAGGAGGAGGAGGAGGTAGCGGGAGGGGACGAATGAAGCGGGGGGAAATCGGAGGGGCGGACGAACCATGAGAGACGATGGACTCTGAACAACAAACTGAGGGTTCTAGAGGGGAGGGGGGTGGGAGGATGGGTTAGCCTGGTGGTGGGTATTGAGGAGGGCCCATTCTGCATGGAGCACTGGGTGTTATGCACAAACAATGAATCATGGAATACTTCATCTAAAACTAATGATGTAATGTATGGGGATTAACCTAAGAATAAAAAAATAAATTAATTAAAAAAAAGAGAGAGAATGGGAGAATGTTGGAAACCTTAGTTTGAAGAGTCACAGTCAGATACTCAAGGAAACCAGAAGGATCCAGGATCCAGTCCAGTTTTATAGGCAAACAATAAACGTTCAAAGATAATTAATCTAACACTCACAAAAGTGTGTTATTGAAATGTAATCTTTCTCTCTAAAGTCACCTTCATTCCTGTCAAAGATAGCCAAAAGAAGATTAATTTGTTTGTAAAACAAGTCCAGTTTTAACAAACTTGGCCCAATCATCTACGTAGGGACAGCAAGAATAGCAATTGACCATATATGGGGTCTTTCTTCTCTTTTCTTTTTCCTTTCCTTCTTTTAAATCTGCTTTGATGGAGCTTTTTACAAGGAATTTTAGATTGATCCTTTAACTGCCTTTTTAAAGCCGAGAACCAAGCCAAATATTGGCCATCAGATTCGCCTGCAAGACTTGTAGATTTGCGGAGGGGTAGACGAACCAGGAGAGACGATGGACTCTGAAAAACAAACTGAGGGTTCTAGAGGGGAGGGGGGTGGGAGGATGGGTTAGCCTGGTGGTGGGTATTGAGGAGGGCGCATTCTGCATGGAGCACTGGGTGTTGTGCACAAACAATGAATCATGGAACACTACATCTAAAACTAATGATGTGATGTACGGGGATTAACATAAGAATAAAAAAAATTACAAAAAAAAAAAAGACTTGTAGATTTGGGTGAATTCCTCTCTTCTTTGAGGGCCTCCAAATTTCCTGAAGTTCCTGCATCTGCCAGGAGGTGGTACTCTTCACTCACCTGGTAAGGTTGAGGGGACCTCTCTAAGCAAGGTTATCAGGCCAACATTTCTAAGGGGCTTTACTGGCTCCATAAAGTCAATCTGACTTTCTTAAAGCAGTCTCACCATATCTGAGTCTACGCATGTGTCTCTTCGAGATGACAGTCCAGGGGCACCTGGCTGGCTCAGTCGGTAGAGAGCACGACTCTTGATCTCAGGGTTGTGAGTTCGAGCCCCACGTTCAGTGTAGAGATTATTTAAAAAATAAAATCTCGGAGGAGCGCCTGGGTGGCTCAGTCGTCAAGCGTCTGTCGGCCTTCGGCTCAGGTCATGATCCCAGGGTCTTGGGATCGAGCCCCACATCGGGCTCTCTGCTTGGCCGGGAGCCTGCTTCTCCCTCTCCCGCTCCCCCTGCTTGTGTTCCCTCTCTCGCTGTGTCTCTCTCTGTCAAATAAATAAATACAATCTTAAGAAAGAAAAAAAGAGTACACTAACAATCCAAGAAAACCTTGTCATTTTAACATAGAAAACCCAAATCTCAATCTTATACCAGTGTGCTTTTCTTCTTCTTTTTTTTATTCTTATGTTAATCCCCTACATTACATCATTAGTTTTAGATGTGGTGTTCCATGATTCATTGTTTGTGCACAACACCCAGTGCTCCATGCAGAATGGGCCCTCCTCAATACCCACCACCAGGCTAACCCATCCTCCCACCCCCCTCCCCTCTAGAACCCTCAGTTTGTTGTTCAGAGTCCATCGTCTCTCATGGTTCGTCCGCCCCTCCGATTTCCCCCGCTTCATTCGTCCCCTCCCGCTACCTTCTTCTATTTTTTTTTTCTTCTTCACATAGATTGCGTTATTTGTTTCAGAGGTACAGATCTGAGATTCAACAGTCTTGCACAATTCACAGCGCTTGCCAGAGCACCTACCCTCCCCAGTGTCTATCAGCCAGTCACCCCATCCCTCCCACCCCACCCCCCACTCCAGCAACCCTCAGCTTGTTTCCTGCGATTAAGAATTCCTCCTATCCGTGAGATCATAGGATACATGTCTTTCTCTGTTTGACTTATTTCGCTCAACATAATACCCTCCAGTTCCACCAGTGTGCTTTTCAAACTGCCTTCTCCCAAGCTCAGTCAGTCCTGACCATGCATAAAATTCCTTTTCAAAAATTCTCCTTCACAAACCCCTTCCACAATTTCCTTTTTCATTCAGACTCGGTCTTAAAGTTTTCTTTCTTTAAGTACCCAGTCCCGTTTCAGTACACCATTACTTCCTTTTCCCTCAACAAAAAAAATGTTTTCTCATTTCTTGTACCTCTTTTACACGTCTCCTACCTTCCCACACACGGAGTTGTTTTTGTTATCATTTTGTAGCAGTCCCAATTCCATGTGGCAGAATTTTAATTCTTAGAAATCTCAGTCTCTGGTGAAACGTTAGTAGTAACCAATGGCGCACTCTCTATTACACCAGAATTCTTTAGATTGGCAAATGTATGAATATATTTCATAAATTTTATTTATTTGACAGAGAGAGACACAGCGAGAGAGGGAACACAAGCAGGGGAAGGGACAGAGGGAAAAGAAGGTTCCCCAATGAACAGGGAGCCCAATGCGGGGCTCGATCCCAGGACCCTGGGATCATGACCTGAGCCGAAGGCAGACGCTGAACGACTGAGCCACCCAGGCACCCAAACGTGGTTGGTTGGTTGGTTGGTTTTTATAAAGGTGATGGAGAGGTATATTTTGATAACCACAAATACAGGCTCACTGTTGTGACGGGAGCGTGGCACATTCCACTGCCCACCCAACGGCTTGTAACGCAGGGAGAACCGAATCCAAGTGCTTTTATGACAAAGAAAAGAAAGAAAAGGAAAGAAAGAAAGAAAGAAAGAAAGAAAGAAAGAAAGAAAGAAAAAGGAGAAAGAAAGAAAGAAAGAAAGAAAGAAAGAAAGAAAGAAAGAAAGAAAGAAAGAAAGAAACGCAAAGTTGATTATTTGTATTATGTGTGACATTGATAGCTCCAAAACCACGTCTTTTTAAAATAAACCAACAACCTTGAATTGGCTTTAACGCCAAAGAAGTTGCACCTGCGTCCACTAAAAAGTCAATCGATTGTTTTCCCCCATCAGACTCCTTGGGGAAAGTCTGAAGCGGGCGGTCTAAGATCAGCGGAGCCCTCGGGCCCCTTCCTGCTAGTTTGGGAGGTGCTCCAATTTAAACCTCATAAGGAGGTGGCCCAAGGCTTGGGCCCAAGGGCAAGGGCTTTTGCTCCTTGATAAGGGGGTGGGGAGGAGGAGGAGGAGGAGGAGGAGAAAGGGGAGCCCATGGCACCCGGGGGGGGGGGGGCGGGGGGGGCGGGGGTAGGGAAGGGCGGCTGAGACGGCGGCAGGGGAGTAGAGCACTCCAGGCACACACACCAGTGGTGCAGAAACGGGGCAGGGGAGGCGGCAAGGGAGCCATTGGTAAGGCCCAGGGCACATATACATTTACAGTTTTGGACGAACCTTTTCTTTTTTTTCTTCTCCGCCTCCGTCCGCCTCCGCCTCCGCCTCCGCCTCCGCCTCCGCCTCCGCCTCCGCCTCCGCCTCCGCCTCCGCCTCCGCCTCCGCCTCCGCCTCCGCCTCCGCCCCTTTCTTCATCTCCTTCTGCTTAATAGGCTTTGTCTGTGGTGGCTTTTCAGCCCTCCGGAAGCCAGTGGGTTGGGCATCGGTTCTGGTGCCTGTACTTGGGGAGGAGGAGGAGTGGATTTCAGATTTCTAGCATCGGCCTGTCTTCCTCCTCTTCTTCATTATTTTGACTGTTGGGAAGTGGGGGTAAGGTCAGGTGTGTTAAATTTTTGTCTATCTCTGGGCCGTCCCTTGGGTCCCTTACCTTGAGGCATCTTTATTGTGGAGTGACATAAGAGTCTGAATGTAGGGAATTTCATCCCAGATCATGTGAGCTTGAAAAACTGGGTTTATTCTTATCTGAGTTTTACCATGCCCGATTTTTACGAGCACCTGCCTCTAAACTCTTTAAGTAGGGGCACCTGTGTGGCTCAGGCAGTTAAGTGTCTGCCTTGCGTTCACATCATGATCCTGGGGTCCTGGGATGGAGCCCCACATCCGGCTCCCTGCTCCGCGGGGAGTCTGCTTCTCCCTCTCCCAATGCCCCCCCACCCCCAGCTCGTGTGCTCTCTCACTCGCTTTCTTTCAAAGACATAAATAGAATCTTTAATAAAAATAAAACTCGGGGCACCTGGATGGCTCAGTGGTTAAGCGTCTGCCTTTAGCTCAGGTCATGATCCGAGGGTCCTGGGATCAAGCCCCTGCATCGGGCTCCCTGCTCGGCGGGAAGCCTGCTTCTCCCTCTCCCACTCCGCCTGCTTGTGTTCCCTCTCTCGCTGTGTCTCTCTCTGTCAAATAAATAAATAAAATCTTTAAAGAATAAAATAAATAAAATAAAATAAAATAAAATAAAAATAGAACTCATTAAATAGAGCTCCTTTACAAATGGATGTTAGCAATAGCACCCGGAGGTGGAGGAAATACCTCACATGTATAACACATACGGACACATAGACACAAACAAGATGCAAACAAATTTTAGCCTTTGTTTCAGTCTTATTTGTGGAGAGGACATGAATGGAGAGGACACGAAAGACCCAATGTTCAAATCTCCCTCTTTTAGTAAAACAAATGCAACTGCGAAGCAGCATTACCGTGTACAGATCCCACCCGTCAGTTGTTTTCCATTCCCAATGGAAACAGGGTCGGTTTTATGCAAAGATAGCAAAAGCTGCAGCAACCAACCAACCAACCAACCAACCAACCAACCAACCAAATGAAGACCAGAGCATCTCCCTGAGTGTTGGTTCCTCCCCAAAAGTCGGGGCTTCACTGAGGGAACCAAAGAGCTTCCTAGTTTCTGATCACCCAGTCTCCTAGCAGGCTTTCTCTAATTGTGTACACAATTCAGACATGTCAAAAGAACCCCGCTTGGGCCATCTGAGACTCATGTTATCGTGAAATGTTTCCCATGCAAGTAAGCACTTGCAAGTATAGGCTCCCTATGCATTGTACATGTAGCGTGCAGGTGTTTCTTGTGAGGGTGGGCCGTTGTTTCCTCAACATTTGGTGCAGGGTTCTACAGAGTTTTGGTTTGTTTCGTTGGTTTGGTTTTCTGCACACGTGTGTGTGTGGGGGGGGTGTGGTGTGGTGTGTTGTGTGGTGTGTATCTGTGTGCACGGTATCTATCGCTGCTGCGCAGCTAGCTGATCCTCAGGGTGCATCATCCTAACACCGCAATGGCTCGAAACAGCATTTCTTTATCGATAACTTCCTGGTGCTTGCCCTGGGTGGCCCCTTGGGTTCTGCGGGTTTGGGTTTACGCCGGGCTCACTCAAGCAGTGGCTTTCGGCCAGAGGGTCAACTTTCACACGTCTGGCAGTCGGTGCCGCCGAGCACCGGGCTGCCTCTGTTGTCAATGCCTCTCATGCTCCAGTCAGCTAGACTGGCTTTCTTACGTGGAGGTCTCAGGACGGCATGCCAAGAAGGTCGAGAACGCCGGCAGACCACCTCTTCAGGTGTAGGCTGTGAAACCAGCCAAGTGTCACTTCTGCTCTATTCTTTGGGTCAAGACAAGTCCCAAGACCCGGTCCAAAATCAAGGGACAGAGCAATCAAGCCTACCTCTGGATAGCAGGAGCATCGAAGTCATAGGACGTGAGGGTGCACACGTGCCGGGACGTGAGGGACACACGGTTGTCGGTCTGCCACAAGGGATTCCTAAACCCTATGCCGCGATGCACATTTTTGCAAAAGTAAGCTTTACGTTTTAGCATCTAAAACATGATTTCCTTTGAATCAACCCCTAGAATTGGATTCACCAGGAAGAAGGGGAAGATGCGTTTTCCAGCCTCTTGATACAGAAGCTCTTGATTTCCAGAGGGCACTTGGAGGACCCTTCACCAGTCTCTGCTTTGTAAGGCGGGGGGAATTTTTTTTTTTTAAGATTTTATTTATTTATTTATTTGTTTGTTTGTTTGTTTGTTTATTTATTTGAGACAGAGAGAGAGAGAGAGAGAGAGAGAGAGAGAGAATGAATGAGAGAGAGCACATGAGAGGGGGGAGGGTCAGAGGGAGAAGCAGACTCCCTGCTGAGCAGGGAGCCCGATGCGGGACTCGATCCAGGGACTCCAGGATCATGACCGGAGCCGAAGGCAGCCGCTTAACCAACTGAGCCACCCAGGCGCCCAAGGCGGGGGAAATTTAATTGGCCAACCCCCCATGAAAAAGCGACCGATCACGTTCCGACGTCCGAATTAAAGGCAGGCTTCCTTTTTAAAGGCATCCATAGAGCAGCCAGCTCCGTGGCAAGGAGCCGGACTTCTGTGTGTCTGATGAGGAATCCCATTCTCGGCATAAAGGCAATCTCGGGGAGCAGTCGGAGGCAGACCAGATCTCAGATCCACCAAACCCAAGAAATCCCTTGTGATCTGAATGGCTGAATTTGTTGAGGTTTCCCTCCCGATGGCTAAGAAGATGCCTTCCTATCACAGATGACAAAACACAAACCAACAAAACCCCGATAGCTGGGCAGGGTCTTCAAGAAAGGGCCCCTTTTTCATGGAAGCCAACTCTTCCATCTCGCGCCACCCGCCATCATGGAGAGGAAGTCTCTCGGGATGAACGAATGCCTTTGCAATCTACGTTAACCGACTCTCTTTTCCGATAGGCTGACACTCTTTCCCCTCGTGGACACGTCCCGAGATCGGCAGGCTTCGGTGCATCGGTCTTCTGTGCACCAAAAGCCGTGCGAAGGCCCCTGTCGTCGAAATGTATTCGGCATGGACGCTAGTGAAGAATTTTAAACCAGTCTAGCCCGGTTCAGTCC